TTTTACACAACAATGTAGATACAACTAAAAGAAGCTTAAAAACCACACAAAACCAATATAGATGTTTTAAGAAAAAAGAAAAAAGAAAAAAAATCTATTTAACCTTGAAAATAAGATATAATTGCATTATTGTGATTTCAAGAGTAATTTATCCTCTAGGAAATTTAATTATTAAAAGCTTGGGGCATTTATTGTCTAAATATTAACAAATTTAATTGCATACTGGTGGCAATTACTACAATTATCTAAGATTCACCTTGAATTTTATATATTTCCTATATAACCTTATATTATAATCAATATAATAGAAGAAAAAAACAATTACAACTACTTCTTATTAGAATTGATAAAAAATAAGAATATAAAGTAAAAAGGAGCTTTTGAATCAAGGTTTTTCTAAAATAATTTAGAATATCTTGGATATTGGTATAGATATTATATTAATAAGTAGATGTGGATATTACTTAAAAATAATGAAAATACTTTAAAAAAATTATTTTTTATTTTTTGTTTTTAATTAACAACATCTATTCAAACCAAGGACCATCTATTGAGAAGAAGATAGTATAAATAAGAAAAAAAAAATTAAGATTAATTCCATAGATTTCTTTATAAGATTTACTAAATGAGAATAAAAAACTAAAGGATTTACTTAAAGAGCTAATATGTGCAAAATTGCCAAATACATCACTTTAGTTTCTTTTATCTTGATTGTGTCAAAAATATGATAAAAATCTTTAAAAGAGATATTTTTTTCTTTGAATAGATGGTGAGTTACAATGAGTATATTACTACAATTTTCAAAAGAATTTTTAATATTTAATATTACTATTAGAAACAGATATTGTAATAGATGGTATTTATTATTTATTTCTTATATTTTATTTGTAATTATATAGGCCTTAACTATAATAGATGCTTATCTTAATTATATATTTTATATATATATATATATATATATATATATATATTTATATATATATATATATATCTGTACATATATATTTATAATTAATTAGATAGAAGCATATTGGAAAGATAATATATTTCTTAATGAGCTTCAAAAAAGTTTTAAAGAGAAGTTTAGATATTTAAACTTTTATAAATTTACCATATGACTATTGAAAATTATCCTAAAAAATATCTTAAATTTAAAAAGTTTCTTTGAAAGAAATTTACAACTTGACGCTTAGACAACAAGTCTTATAGTCTCTAAGAAGCTTTGACAAGATTTTTTTTTTAGCTAATATGTAAATAGACTAGACTAAGACCATGGTAAGCCTTGTCAACACTTTTCTTGTGTTTTAGATTATATTCAAGATTCTTTAGTTTTTCTAAAATTAGAAGTAGCTATTTTATTTTTTTCTATTTTATATTTATCTCTTATTTGTTTTCTTTCTCTCTTTCAATGATACAAAAATGTATTTTTTTCTTACAATATTCTTCCAATTTATCTCTTTGAAATTGATAATTATTAAATAATTAATATTTCTCTTTTTTGGTTTAAAATATTATTAATAGTTTAACAAAGCTATCAACTATCTTTGTATAGAACATAGATCTAAGTTTATTAATGGTACTATCTATCAATTCTTAGGCCCTATTAAATTATCAAAAAACTTGATTATTTGTTGTAGAAATCATTTTTATAAGGAAAAATAATATAGGTGATGTTAAGATTTTATTTTATTTTATTTTATTTTATTTTTTCATAGAAATTTTTTTAAAAACTTTATAAAAAAGAAAAAAAAAAGAAAAAAAAAAAGATTTTTAGTTTTTTTTATCTTGCAATAATATTTGAAGTTGTTGTTTTAGACTTTTTACTTTTAGAAAGCTACATTTGAAGAAACCTACAACTTAATACTAGGGCCACAAGCCCTCATACTCATAAAAAGCTTCTATAAGATCTTCTTCATAATTAGTATTTATAGCAATAAGGATGAGGCTATTTGTAATTTTTGTAACACCTTTATTGTATTTTAGTCTTAGTATACAAACTTCTAGTTTCTTTATAATTAAAACAACTATTTTAACTTTTTTCCATCTTATATTTATTTCTTTATTCCTTAAGTTTTTTATAGTGACATATGAGTGTATTATTTTTTTATTTTTTTTATTTTTTTGGATGAATATCTTTGATATTTATATTTTATATGTATAAAATATGAATATATATATATATATATATATCAAATTATTTATCTTATTTCTAATTGAATAAACTAAGAAACAAAACGATTATAATTTTATTTTCAACTAAAGAAGAATCTACATTTTCATGGTATGTAGATTTTAGGATGTCTTATAGCTATTTCAAGATATATGTACATAGTCCTGTCCAAAGCCAAAATTGTAGTTTTTTTGTTTACAAGAATTAATTATTAAATGATAATTTCTAAAAGCAGATCTCATTATTCTCTATGAAAAACATATTTATACTATATCAAAAATGAATCCTAAATAACCTTTATAAAGTAAGCATATAGATAATTAGTTCTATTTTATTAGAAAAACATTCTCTACAGATATTAAATTATATTCTAATAACTAAAAAAATTCTAATATTTTATTTAATTTTTTATTTTAATATAAAAATATATAAAACATATTAAATTTAAATACATGTTTGATTTTTAAAACATTATTAATAGTTATCAAACTAAAGATTTAAGATTTAATGACTTATGCCAATTTTCATATTTCTTCTGAACTTATCTTTTATTTATTTTAGAGTTCTTTTGAATAGTGTATTTATAATTTATATTCAATAAAAATTTGGCTTTAATATATATATATATATATATATATAAATTTAGTAAGACTCTGATGTAATTTTAGATCTTCCAAGTTATAAAACTAGTTTTAAAAGTAAATATTAAACAGAAATAATTGTAGTAGTATAATTCAATATAATTGAATGTTATTTATTGTAAGAATCTATAATAGTTATTGAAATAAAATGCTTGTCGAGCAGGCTGCAACGGCGACACTGAATGTGGGAGCCAAGTGGAGCGACACCGACCAGCAAGTGTCCTGTATGCCGTTTTCTAAACTAGCTCGACGATCGACGGCGCTGCAGATTCAAAGACAGTCAAAGGCATAATGAATTGGCTCTGAAGGGATCCAAGTGAGTGGCCTGGCAACCTGGCGCCACGGAGCAAGTTGCTTCGGCAATGAATGCTCCCGCAGCCACTATTTAAAGACCCCCAGAACGATTTTCGATAGCTCCACTCCAGAATCCCCCCCCTCCCCCCCCCACTAGGTGGACCATTTCGGCGCAGATCCACGCCTTAGAATCCGCGGACGCACAATTCGTAGCTTCCCGATTCCCAACAAAGTATCCCAATTCGATCCGGGTTTCCGATGTTCTCATTGCCGAACCGGACAGCACACGCCGAAACTTGTTGATGAAAAACCAGTGGCATAGTGTGCCTTTTGCCTTTTCGTAGCAGAATCGCGGTTGGCAGTTTTGAAAGTAGGCACCCACGACCAGAGTTCGTCGATTGAAGCACTGTGTTACCTCTCTGTGTCATTTTGGAACCATTCACATGTCAGTGGCCGGACTAGTTCCCCTGTGACCATATCGTCTAGGAAGTCCGTCTTCACATGACGGTATAAGCCCCGACATGCCTCCGAAAGTTGTTCAAGAGCTGCTTGCGCAAGAGATGCTTACTTCCCAACTTTTGTAAATTTCGATCTCGGTAAAATGATTCTGCTAGCGGATTTCGGAACCGACCAGATCAAGAACAGAAATCCCTACAACATGGTCAACTACGAGTGCCAAAATTCTGGTCTACGTATCTTCTGTGAAGTCTATTTCAAACTCTTGACCTGATTCAACTGTTGTTTTACAAACGAAACGCATCTTCCTTTCTCCTTTCACGCTTGCATTCATAGTCATTATTTACTCAGAATATGAAATCAGAACGGCAGAGGCACTGGAATAGATACTAAAAATGATCCTCTCTCTAAGCAAGTGGGATCTGCAGATAAATATTTACAACAGCAGTAGCAGGCGAAACCTCATCAGCTCTACATACGGCATGGTTCACAGTGTTCGAAGCTCCTGAATTGGCATTCACTATTGACGGATCACGTGAGTAGTGGTACCAAATCACCACATCGTTTTTCAAGCACCTTGAAATAAGATTTATATAAACATGCTTTGAGTTGAAGCAGGTTCCAATTGACGCTGTTCAGTTCTGTTTGCTTGTGCCGACCAAGATTATGAACGACAAATATAAGCAATGGGTGTGGCCTATTCATGGGCTGCAGATTCCAGTTAACACCAAACATTGTCAACCCTTGACCACATCTCTGCTCTGCTACTGCTACAGACACCACGTGTGCCCTAATGCTTTGGTTTTTTTCTTTTACTGTGAATGTAAAAGTAGACATAGTTGGCTTTCTCAGCTGACAAAGTCCACCACACTCAATGTTGTTATATCACATATGAAACCAACTTCATACCTAGAGATATAAGTTGATGATTGCATGCAAAGGTATTCAAAAAGTTTAAGATGGATTAATTGCATTTACACCTCATTTATGATATTCGAATGTTTATGACAGGGCTAAATGTAGATATATGAGTGTGAAGACGAATGAGGCTCAAGATAGACAGAAGTTGACAAAACTGATGTTAACTTTAATTTTGTCTCTATTTGTATTGCTAGTTAAAAACATGTCAAAGAATTTTCATTGGCTTTTTGTTATTTGTTGTATCACTAATGATACATGTGACGAAGATTTTTTTTTTTTTTTTTTTTTTCAAATAATAATAGTAATACTTAAAGCACCCCACTCGCTGGCATTATTAAAGCACCCCACTCGCTGGCATTGATTCTTGCATTGTCACGTCCATATCGATCGCGATGGAATAGTTCCAACAGATTGGTGGTTCGTCGCCTCGGATCCTTCGTAATATGGCACCTGGGGTCCGTGGATTTTTCTTTGGAATAGAAAGCGATGCACGGTTTCGTCGATGTTCACACACTTGTCTCGTCTTTCATTTGCATTTCGCCGAATATCTCAGGTTGTTACAGCCTACCAGTATCATGCTGAGAGGTCACTGGTCGCAAAGTATAAAGCCTTGGGCTTTATCGAGCTCAGGCAGACTAATCGCTGATGTTACACACACCCCAAGGGACTGTGTGGGCAGAGGCTTACGGCAAAGCTGCCGAGCCGATGAGCGAAAGCAATTGACTGTGTAGACTTCGGTTGCAGAGACCTGCTGCATTCAGGGCGCTTAATTCTACATCTTCCGGCTTTGCAAGTAGTGAGAATGGAGGGACTTCATTATGTTTGGGAACAGGTAGGGGCACACACTGGAGTGTGGACTGTGGGTGCCACATTACTTGCAGTGCTCACAGGATGGCTGTTGTGGAGCACCACCGCTGTGCCGACGAGAAATCCACCGGTGCCGCCAGGCAGTTTTGGTTGGCCTCTGGTTGGAGAGACGCTGGACCAATTGGATGCTGCCAAGGCCAACCAAGTCGTGAAATTCTACGCAACTCGTGTGGCCAAATATGGAGAGGTCAGTTATCGTTCCCAAACTTGAATGAAACTGATTCCATAACCGTTGCATTATCGATTTCAGGACTGTCACGAATGTCATGATGGAATTGAAAAATTAGTGAAATTCCACTCATTGCATACGTGAGTACAGAAAAAAAATGCGGGCGAGCATTTATTCTTTCGTGAATGCTTGATTCCTTGTGGTGCTGTCCAGTGCCTATTTTGCAGAGCAGTACTGTTTTCTTGTTTGCATTTTCTCTCTGAACTGATTTAGTTTGTTCATGGCGCACATAATGGTGAGAACTTGTCTTGAAGATTAGAAAAATGATTTCAGAAGCTAACACATAAAGTGGACATTGCATAGGTATTTAGAACGCATTTTTTGTTCAACCCGGCTGTGTCAATGGGCGCACCGGAGGGCAACAAATTCCTTTTCGGAAACGAGAATAAGTTGGTTCAGAATTCCTGGCCAGGGCCAGTCACCAGGCTGCTGGGCAAGAACAGCCTTACTGTCCTGGTCGGTGAGGAGCACAAGTGCGTCCTTGCACCCTCTCAGCTTTTCTGCTGGAACTGGTTTCAAATTTCATTATGTGTGTATCTTCTTCAGGAATATTGTTGTTATGAACTTGAAGAGTCGCACATTCTCATATTACTGTTTTGGAGAATCGCAGACGAGCGCGTCGGGTGTATACTACATTCTTCAATCCAGAAGGCCTTCAAGCTTCCCTACCAAGAATAGAGGCAATTGTACGTAGGCACGCCGCCGAGTACTGGGAAGGCAAGGACCAGATTCTGGGAGTGCCAACAGCGAAGGAGTTCGCCTTCACTGTGGCAGCAGACTTGTTCATGAGCATGGACAACCATGACCCCTTATATCGATTGTTTGCACAAGCCCACGAGGAATTCGTGACAGGATTTTTCAAAATACCAATCTACTTGCCGGGGTCAGCGTATCGCAAAGCACTACAAGGACGTGAAGAGCAGCGCCGCATCATAGGCACCATCATTGACAAAAGAAGAGGGAATCAACCCTCCGCATGATCTGCTGAACGTGATGCTGACCGTCCCTTATGAAAACGACAGCTTTATGACAGACGACGCCATCAAGGATAACATTTTGTTGATGATGACCGCCAGCCACGACACTAGCAGCACCACCATTGCGTTCGTGCTCAAGTATCTGTATCTTAATCCAGAATGCTTGAAGGAAGTAATTCGAGGTCAGTATATCCCCCAGTATGAACCGATTCCAATGATCTCTAATCGATCACCAAAACACTGGGAGTGATTCATGGGGTGGCACTGCATTGGTTAACTGATTACATCTTTCGGTGGCAGAGCAACTGGCGATTGCGAAAGATAAAAGGGCTGATGCAGCCGTCACTTGGGAGGACACCAAGAATATGAAGTACACATGGAGAGCCATTCAAGAAACCATGCGGCTGCAACCACCCGTGCAAGCAGGATTCCGAAGAGCAATCAAAGACTTTGAGTTCGGTGGATTCTCTATCCCAAAAGGATGGACGGTAAGCTCGAATACTAAACCTTGCTCTCATCTTCTCACCAGAGCATCAGATGGCTCGATGTAGTGTGAAAGGCTGCTGGTTGAATCGAAGCTGATCAACTATATAACTCACACTGCGGGGTATGAATTGTTGTGCAGTTGATTTGGAGTGTGGCACGCTCACACATGAGTCCCAAGTTTTTCCCCGATCCTGAGAAATTCGATCCATCACGATTCGAAGGCTCGGGACCTCCCCCCTACGTGTTCATTCCGTTCGGCGGAGGACCCCATATTTGTCTTGGTAACGAGTTCGCCCGTTTAGAGATGCTACTCTTCCTGCACCACATTGTGTTGAATTACGAGTGGGAAATGGTTGATCCCAACGAGCAGGTCAGCATCACCCCTGTCACACACTTCAAGAAGGGACTAGAACTGATCCTCCGCAAACGCAGATTCGAGTGAGACCACCCCAACGCATTGTTCATTTTGTACAGTAATCCTCCCTAGACTAAGATAATGTTGCACATCATAGTCATGTAGGAAGAAACAACCTTGATAGAAACCTTTGTAAATGTAGGATGCTGAGTCATTTGTTGGATTTTCCACTATGACTCCGGTAGTCCGGAAGCAATGCCTTTATTACCCACTTGGGAGCTAATCCAGGTGCCCAACTTTTGCATGAATGTACGCTTGAGCTCAATAAGATTGACCCGGATCTCTACACCTGTGGTGCTACTAAAGCTTGTGTTGAAAACTTGATCATGGTTTCCGAATAATACCTGCTTCATAAACAGAGAATTAATTCTCAGCAACTCCTCGAAATTAACTCTTCACACACTCTGCTCCCAACGAGATAAACTTCTTGAAATAATCAGTTGGGTGCCCTAACGAAGTGCAGGCCAGTGCACGGTTCAGAAATGAAGGACGGCTGTGATAGTCATCACAACAATATGAGAACAACGTGCTCATGAGCTCGCTCAGAAAATCATCGTCATACTCTTGCGAGGGCAAAGTATGCTAAATTACTATACTTTATGATCAAACTACAGGCACTTCGATCCAAAGCAGTCCACCAGAGAATACACTCATGACCCTCGTTACCGCTCACATACAAGCTGAGCAATTAGGGACACACAAAACGAACCTTGAGGTTGCAAAAACAAGGTTTTGAAAAGCATCACCACGGTCGTACCCACAGAAAACAGCCACAAAAGCAAAAACGTTCTGGAACCGGAAGTAGATCTTCAGTGCGTTGAGAATGTTTTTATGCAGTGTACTCAGTATGGTGCGTTATATGGGTGGAAGTTTTTTTATTGCAAAAGTCTTTTGTAGAGGATTTCTTACAGTTTGAGTCATAGCAATAAAATAGGGAGGCACAGTTTGCAAGCATTGAACTTGTTGTAAAATCAACAAATTTGGGAGTTTTCTGTAGAGCTAGCATGATGTGTATATGTTTTGTTATGCATTTATGGCATGTATAAACTTAATTATGTACATAACGTAATTATGATTTTTTAATGTCATTGGATAGCTCACACTTTGTTAGATAGATCTTATTTATGTTTAAGATTTTAAAATGATTCTTTCATAGATTATTATTCAGTGGTTCAACAATTATATCTAATGATTTTAAAATCATTTATAGTACAATTGTAAATAGATAGAGAATATCAATTATCTATTATTAATCACTAATTCAAACAAATGACATTTTGATGTGAACAAATGAATATGTGAGTAAAGTAGTAGAAAACCTATCAATTGTTATAAAACTAAACTAATCTTACTAAAAGTTGTATTTTAGCTTGTTGACTATTATATAAAGTTTCATTAAATAGGAAAAGAAAGAACAATATATTGAGCAAAGGTATTCTTTTGGTCTTTTCCAAGCTATTTTTTAGAAGAAATATGTCATGTTTTAAATAATATCCAATATTAATCTTAAATTTTAAGAAAAAAGTGTAATCTCTTCTACATATAGTTTTAGTTTATTTTATTTAAAATACAAATCTTTTAAACCCTCATTTTTTAAATGAAGCTATTTTATAAAATGATATATAATTCCTTATTATTAAATAAGAAGCCAGAAAAATAAATAAGAATCTTAATAAAAGTAATCATAATCACACACACACACACACACACACACACAGATATATATATATACAGATATATATGGTTTTTTTTTTCTTTCTTTCTTTCTGATTCTAACTTGTTATGCAAAGAAAATAGCCAAAATTTCTTACATTGCTAATACTTAAGCTTTATTCTTACAATAAAAGGTTTCACATGAAATTATAAACATCTAACATATTTTTTAAATTGGATTATTTATATAAAAAGAATTCTTATATTGATAAAAATACTTAAAATTTTATAATATTAAACTTAAAATTTTTAGAAAAAAATATTTATTTATTTTTAATCCTATTCTAAAAATAATATGTTTCTTAGAGTAACTTATATATATATATATATATATATATATATATTTTTAAGAAAATAACATTTAACTTTATCACTTAAATTTTTCCTCTCTATGTTCTTAATCATTTGGTGATTTTCATTCCTTTAAAGAGAAAATTTTAAAGATATTACAAGTTTGATCTTTTTTATTAAATATCGATTTATTTAAAAATAGATATTTCATCTCTATTTCTATGGGATTGATTTTTATAAGAATTATATTATTATTATTTCTATTAATTTTTGGTTCTAAGATAAATTGATTTTAAGATAATTAGATTCTACAATATAGAAAACATTTTTGCATGAATTTTTCTTTATTGTGTAAAATATTTTATATATTTTTAAACTTAATTTAATATAATAATATTTTTATATTTACTATTAATTAAAATAAATAGTATTAAATAATAAAAATAAAAATAAAAATCTTATTTTAAGATTTTATATTATTTTTAATATTAAAAAAAATTAAATGTATATTTAGATTTTTAACAATCAAATTCAAGTATCTTTTCTTGCACCTCTATATATAGCTGTTCGAATTATATTTTTAATAGTAATAATACTCTTATATTGTAATCCAAAATGATAGTTATTATAACCATATTCATTGTGTAATCAAATGAAGACTTTGAATTGTTTAAGTGTAAAAGAAGTTAGATTTTTTTATTTTTTTATTTTTTATATATGTACTATATATATTACAATTAATGATATATTAGGATGTATATTATGTTAAGGTGCCCTATAATCTTATGATTATGATTAAGATTTTTATACTTTACAAGCTCTACAGTTATATCACATAAGTTCTATTAACTTTTTAAATAGTTCATATGGTTAATTAGAATAATAAAATCTATCAAAAATAGATATATTTTGTACTTGTACTTTGTAATAATTATTGATTTTTATGCTCTTGAACTCACATATAAACCCCCTTTAAATATAAATTGGAGCTTAAAGATAGATTGTTAAGCATCCTTCTTAAAATCTATATATCTTTTAGTTTATTTATTGATTAATGTTTTAATTGAACTTATTATTTGTCAAGTTACTTATAAGTTATAATTGATAGTATTCTTTAAGTAGATCCATTAGACTTGTTTATTAATTATATTCTTGAATAGTCAACTACTATTTGAAATATTCTATTTAATTTATTTAGTATAATAGTATAATCTTAAATCAATGAACTATATACTTAGATATTTTCCAAATGTCATAGTTACAAGTAATGGACATCTCTCTTTAGATATTTAATCTTATGCTTTAATTTTTTTTTTTATAGTTATTAGATAATAATAATATTATTAGAATAAATTAAAATTTTCATCTATACGATTGAATTTAAATAAATCAAGTATTCATAATGTGATCATTGTAACTATACTTAGATTTAAATTTTTTGAATTTATTTTTTTTTATATTAAATTTTTTAGTCATAATACTATTTTTATATCATTTAATTATAGAGTATATTCTATAATAATTCCACTTAGGATTATTTTTTTCTAAAATATAATCTATAATTATTTATTATTAAAATAAAAGAATTCTTATTTTATAGTTTTATTTCAATTGAGAACTAGTATAAATTTTTCTTCAGCAATTTTACATATATAAAAATAATCTCCTTAGTACTTTAATTATTTAATTTAAAATTTTAAAAATTCTAAAATTAAGATTTTTAATTCAAAAAATTAATATTTAATGTATGTTATTTTTTAATTTTACATAATAAAAATTTATATAATAGATAAGATTTGATTAGAGTTTAATTAGATTACAAATATAGTTTTAAAATATTTTTATTATAGAATTAAAAATACTAAAAATAAAATTCTATTAACTTCTATAATTTATTGTAATTAAAAAAATGACCTAAATTACCCAAAATATTATCATCTTTTTAAAAATTTATTCTATGATATTTTTTCATTGCATTATTTTTTTTATTTTTTATTTATTATTTACCAATAGATCTTAGCCAAATTTCATAGAGATTCAATACAAAGAGAAAAACTTCCAAATAAAAAATTAAGATAAATCATAATCTAATCTACTAGTATTAAGTCAAAATATTATATATTTAATTTAGAACACATTTTTCATACCAATTGGAATAACCTATAATATTATGAATTTTGTCTTTTGGAAGCAAATAATCTTTATACAACAATTAGTTTTTACCTAACTCTACTCAAATGGTGCTTTGAAATAGCAACTAAACTAACTAATCGATATTTGGATTTTATTCTAATAATATTTTTTCAATTCCATGTTGTCATATATTATGAAGTGTCCTTGAAAATATACTAGGCTCATGGCTATGGAAGATAAAATAGAAATTGCAATAAGAAAGTCCTAACAACTCTAATAATATCCAAAATAACTTTAATAAAATCTTAAAAATTCTAGTCCATCTTTAATTAAATCTAAAATAATTCTTAAAAAAAATTACAAAAGAAATATAAATAAATTATAGATTAATCTTAAAAAAATATAAAATAAAAAAATCTTAAAGAAATATTAAAGAAATATTTTAAAAATTAATAAAAATATAAATATTAAATAAATTCTAATAAAATATTAATTTAATTCTAAATCAATTCTAATAAAATCTTAATTTAACTCTAAATAAATTCTAATAAAATCTTAGCCAAATCCTAAAAAAATCCTAAATCCTAACCAAATCCTAATGAAGCCTTAATTAAATTCCAATCAAATCTTATTTAATTCTAATTAAATTTTAAAGAGATCCTAATGAAATCTTAAACCAATCCTAACCAAAACTTGATAAAATCTTAAATTAATCCTTGCTAAATTCTAATATAGTTCTAAACCAATCTTTACCAAATTCTAAATCTTAATCAAGTCCTAATAAAAACCTAACTAAATCCAAAGTAAGTCAAAGTAAATTTTAACCAATTTCTATAGTTGTTTTAAAATCTCAATAAGTACTAAATGAATTATTGATCTCAACTAAAATTTCATTTATGATTCAATCCACAAGCAATTAACAAGCACAAAGAAAATTAAAAAAAAATAAAACTTACCAATCAAAAGAAAAAGCTCCTAAACCTCTCAGATATTGATTGTCTTCTTTCTCAAACTTGGATGTTGATCTTTTAGTAGCAATTTTTCTTTGCTGAACTATTCAATTGCTTCAAAAAGTGATTATTGTATAGATTTCTAATTCCAAACTTTTTTCACGAATTTTTTCTTCAATCAAATGAGTAAATGTTTTAGAATCACAAAAATCCTCACT